CCCGCCCGCCTCCGCCCGTCGGGCGCGGCCAGTGGGGCGTCCCAGGCGGCCCTTCGCGGGCGGCAGCTCCCCCGTCGTCCTGAGATTGCAGGGAGCCAGGGGCTATAGCACAGCGTCCCCCGTCCTACCTTCGCCCCGGAGGCCGAGCAGCTGCAGCTCGAGGGCGGGGAGAGAAGAGGGCTCAGCGCACGTCCTGGAGAGATGCCTGGAGTGAGGCTGGGGAGGGAAACTTCGGGCAGTTCGAGGCCTCATCTCGAAGGTTGTCCTACACTGCTAGACGCCCGCTAGTGTCAGGTACCTTCCTGCAGCAGGTGGGCATCCTTTTGTGCACAAGCTTTCTAGGTGGTTTGAATAGCAGCGGGAGATGCGTGTGGTCAGACGAGGTAAGGGGTAAGGCAGAGAGAGACAGGCCAGTGCTGCTAGAGTGTGTTAGGCGTGGGCGACAGAATGACATGTTGACTCAGCAGGTCCTGAGTTCGTAGGACAGGCAGGTGTGCTAGGCTGCAGACCCAGTGGTGAGGGTAAACGTGGAAGTGACATGACACAACCACAAGGAAACTCAGATCACAGACGTGTCACCTGCTGTGAGAAAGAACGCGAGCCAGGCTGAGGGGTCCAAGAGGCTTTCCCAAAAACGGAACCTGAGCCAGGACCACGCCAGGCAGAGCGGACACAGAGTCCGGGCACGCGTTCCCCTTCTCGGGTGGGAGGGAATAGGGGCTGGAGTGCAGGGCTGGCAAGGCCACAGGAGCCAGGTAAGGCAGTTCTTCACAGCCAGAGCCATGGGAGGTGGGCCAGCCCTGTGGCCTAGGGGTTAGTTAAGGGTGCGAGATCCCACATGGCTGACCTTAAAGTTTCAGCTGCAGCCCCAGTGGCTCAAGAAACAAGCCGGGCACATGGGCACATGCGTGTGCACATCACGACAGGGTGGAGGAGTGGAGTTGCTGGTGTGTCGTGACCACACCCCACTGTGTGGGGCGTATTTCTCCCTGTCTCTCTGTCTCTCTCCTTTGGCAAAACAAACACTGGAGAGTGTTAAGCAAGGCAGGGTACGATTACATTAGTGTTCAGAAACATCACTGTACGACCAGCAGATGGCTTCATGGTTTCGTCGCTGGTTTCGAGTCCTGGGCCCAGCGACTTAGACTCACACCAGGAGTGTGTGCGTGCATGCCTAGAATCCCAAGGGGAGAAGGGAGAAGGGTTTGCGGCGTGGCCATCCCCCTGTGGGGTGAGCTCTCGTTTTCTGTCTCTTTGGCGAGGGACACATCCTATAGTAAAATCTCTGAAGAGACAAAGATCGTCTTTGCTGTGATGTAGGGAAGTTGGCTGCTGGGTGGGGGTTGAGGGGAGGCTCCTGGGAACTTAGGAGGCTTGTGCATCCGTCCAGATGAGAGACTGTGGTTACTTGGCCTAGGATGGTGGAAGCAGGGATGGAGGAAGGGACCGAGGGGCGGGAGCTAGTGTGTAGTTGTGGCGCTGGACCCCCACATGGCCATCTGTGGTCCAAGTCTTGGACCTGGTGACTTGCTTTCTTTCTCTGTCTGGCACACATTTAAATGAATAACAAAATTAAATAAATAATTATTTAAGAAAAAAGGGGACTGATCGAGAAGTGCTTGGGCACAGAGCCACCAGGATTTGGTTGTAGAAGGGGTGTAGGGCTTGCTGGTGGCGGTGGACACCTGGAACGAGGTGCCACAGCGTGGCGTGTGCGGGGCCCTCTGGGCTCGGGCCGATGTGCAGCTGTCTGCAGTGGATGTGTGAGCGGGCTCAGGGAGCGCGAGCCCTGCGCAGCAGGGAGATGCATGTGTCGCCCGGCCTGGGAGAGCGCCAGTGTGTGCCGGAGGGCATGTCGTGTGGTTCGGGGTGGAAGGCCTGGAGCCCGCGTGGCGGAGCTGGCCTGACGGGAAGGGGTGGCAGTGGGGGCGGCCGTCC